GAGAGAGAGAGAGAGAGAGAGAATCCTAAACAGGCTTCACACTCCATGTGGAGCTCAGTGCTGCGCACAATCCCACCACCCTGGGATCATAACCTTAGCTGAAATCAGGAGTTGGACACTCAACCAATTGAGCCACTCATGTGCCCTACTATCTATCTTTAAATATTTTATTTTTTTCTTCTCTAATTTTCTTTTCTTTGGATTGATAGTTTTTTAAGTGTGTGTAATTCCCTTTTCTTGTTTGGAAACTATACCTTGTTTTTTAGTTGTTACTTTAAACATAAATGGAAACAACATTTATCTTTAATTTATATTAATAAATAACTTTTTCTTTTTGTGGCATTATGAGGACCTCTCATTTACCTTTCCCAACTTTTCATTCTCTATATTTTAAACTTCACAAAAACATTGTTTCATATAGTCAGTGTACATTTAGAAATGCCTATATTTACTACCTTTTTTTTCTGCTCTTCATATTTTCCAGTTCCTTTGGTCTGAACATCCTCTGGAATTTTCTTTGAATAGATCTGAACACTCTTTTATCTATCTAAAAATGTTTTATTTCACTTTAATTCTTTTTATTTTTTTATTTTTAATGTTTGTTTATTTTTGAGAGAGATAGAGAGAGACAGAGTGTGAGTGGGAGAGGGGCAGAGAGAGAGGGAGACACAGAATCTGAAGCAGGCTCCAGTCTCCAAGCTGTTAGCACAGAGCCTAATGCAGGGCTTGAACTCACAAACTGTGACATCATGACCTGAGCCGAAGTCAGACACTCAACTGACTGAGCCACCCAGGCCTCCCATATTTCACTTTAATTCTTTAATGATGTTGGCGATGATGGAATTCTAGCTTGGTAATTACTTTCAGTGCTTTGAAGATACCATTCTATTGTCTTTTGGCTTTGCTTATTGAGAAGCCAGCTATTAGTATGTTGCTCCTTTGAAGGTATTATGTTTCTTTTTTTTTAAATTTTAAATGTTTATTTATTTTTGAGAGATGGAGAGACAGCATGAGTAGGGGAGGGGCAGAGAAAGAGGAAGACACAGAATCCAAAGTAGGCTCCAGTCTCTGAGCTGTCAGCACAGAGCCCGATGCGGGTCTCGAACTCATGAACTATGAGATGGTGACCTGAGCCGAAGTCGGACGCTTAACCGACTGAGCCGCCCAGGAGCCTCTGTTGTGTTTCTTTTTAAATCTTTTTCCAGTTTTGCTTTCATTTTTCAGGGTCTGATTTCCTCATTTTCCTATGGGGCTTCTTGAGTCTGGAATAATACCTTTGATCAGTTATGGGGGATTCAAAGCTATTATCTGTTTAGACATAGCTTCTCCTTTCTTCATGGAACTCTGATTGGATGTATATTGAATCTTCATACTCTGCCTTGTAGCTTTATTCTTTATTTTCCACATTTTTGACCCTCTTTGCTGCTTTCCTGATTGTTTTTATTATTTATATTTCAGCCCATTATTCTTATGCTGTATCTATTTTTCATTAAATCTGTCGTTCAAGATCTTGATTTCAGTTATTTTGGATTTTTTAGTTCTAGTATTCTTACAGGTTCTTTTTAAAATCTGAATTTTTTTTTCTTTAGTGTTTCCAGTTGTCCATTTTCAAGTTTGGCTTTTATTTCTTGGACACTAAAAAATTATTAAACATGGTTGTTCTAGATTCTTGTGTTTGATAATTCCAACGTCTGAAATCTTTAGGATCTATTTCTGTTTCTTTTTTCTGTTAAATTTTGTTCATGGTGCCCTGTTTCTTTGTATGCCCAGTTTTGTGTGCTTGGTTATATATTTGAAAAATTATGGGAATGATTTGATAAAGCCTTCCTTTCCTTTTCCAATGTATGAATTAGACTTTATCATAAAAAGTAAATCAAAACTCAACATATATATGAGCCAGGAGTGCTTATTATCAAACCTTATTTGTACTGCTGAAGTTATACATGAATATATGTTGCCTGAAGTTTAGAGAGTTCATCTATTCTTGTTTATCTTCATGCATAATCCATTAAAAGACTATAAAACAATATTTTAAAATAATGTTATCTAATTTTGTAATTGTTAACAGGTAAGATTATTTGAATAGTTACTTTCAGTTTTGTGAACTCAATTCTTTCTAGAAATTTAATATGTTTATTGTGTTGGGGAAGAATTTTCAGTTATATATTGATTGAGATACAAAGACTTACCTATGTGGGGAATGTAGGTAGGCATATGGTATCCTGACCAGTTTGACTTCCAGGTAGTTGGTACAATAAGATGTATTAATTTCCTTATCGAATAATTGTCAAAAGCCTCCTGAAGGAAGCAGATGAGAAACATAAGAAATGTGAATCCATCAAGGAGATGATCCAAAAACAAAAGGTTCAAATTCCAGTGGTATAATATTATAATGTTTTTGAGCTATTATATCAAATCTAGAATTTAGGATTATTATGTTTATTTAGTAACCCTCAATTCTGACTTCATGCTGTTATCTTTTGGAGAGTTTTTAGAAATGTATATTGTTGGGGCACCTGGATGGCTCAGTTGGGTAAGCATCTGACTTCAGCTCAGGTTACTATCTCATGGTTCTTGAGTTCAAGCCCCACTTCTCTCTCTCTCTCCTAATCACCCCCCTCTCCGCCCCTCATGGGATATTTTCTCTCTCTCTCTCTCTCTCTCTCTCTCTCTCTCTCTCTCTCTCTGCCCCTTGCTCACTTGCCCCCCCCCCCCCCAAAGAAATGTATATTGTTGCCTAGCGTAATCCCTAGGTGATTCCATTATGCAGCTAGGTTTAAGAACCACTACTTTAGTAGACCATTTTGAGGAGGACTTTAATGAACCAGGATTGCAGTAATTTTTAAGCTGTATGTTCCTTTGAGATGTCACAGTCCTAAAAGAGGCAGACTGGGCAATGTGAAACCCTTTGACTGTAGCAGTTAATCTATTTTATATGCTAGGATTCCATTTAACATTTCATTTGTTAAAAGAGTACCCTTGATTAAAAAATTTTGATTGCCCTTGCCTCAAAGGTAAAATGGTTGTTAGATTCTACTTAGTTTTTCAGTAATATGATAGACTAGATAACTTGAAAGCCCTTTCGAATCAAAAAACCTTTTAAATAACGCCACAGGGCAAAAACAAATCTAGAAACCATAGCTGTTTGTTTGAACTGACTTTGGAGGTGCCCTGAAAGAATTTGCAAATGTAGGTAATATATTAGCTTATATTGCTAAAAAAAGCACCCCAAAACTCAGTGGCTTAAAACAGTTTTTTACTTTGCTAATAGTTCTTTGGTTCAGTAATTTGAGTTAGGCTCAGCTGGCCAGTTCTCATCTTAGCTGGACTCAGTTCATCAGCTGGTTATCTGGCTAGGGTTTGGGTAGTTGGCATGGCCTTAGCTGGGACAGCTTGTTTCTGGCCCAGGTTGTATGTCATTCTTCAAACACTTATTTTGGGTTAGTCTCCTGATAGTAGAACAGGGTTCCTAAAGAGAGAGGGAGAAAGAATTCAAAGCCACTTGTAAGGCATAATATCAGATTTAAGACATGGAGAAATAGATTCCGCATCTTGGTGGGAATAGCCACAGAAGTCATATTATAAGCATAATGGGTATAGGGAGAGGAATACTTTTGGCTTTTTTGATAAACAGTATACCATAGAGGGCAAAGGAGTTTGGGACAGGAGATGAGGCCTAAGAGCTGATAGAAGCATTAGTGAAGCCTTAGTGAGGCCTGAGAAACCATGTCCTCCCAATAAAACCACATCGTGGAAAGAATTCACAATGAAATATTCCCTTGCTTATAAGGAGACTTTTCTGTCCTTGGTCTCGTTTCTGATTTGAATCTCCTCTGAGAATTTGTAATCACAGGGTTGCCATAAGGTGGGTTTGGGGCTTGTCAAAGTAGTCCTGGGTTGGTGTGTATGTATTAAGTTTCACAATGTATAACAGTTTTTAAATGAAATAACAGGCTGGCATATTTGAGAGGGGAAGGAACTTCAGAAATGAGATAAGACATAGTCATTGAAACTTAAAATTCAGTGAGTAATTAAAACAGCAGGTTGGACACACTGCTAAAGAGAAAAGTAGTGATTTGAAAAACAGATCCAGAGAAATTACTCACAAGGGGCATGGATATAAAAGAGAGATTAAGAGACTGGTAGGATATATTGGGAAGGTGCAACATTTATGTAACACTATCAAGGAGAAAATAATTGAATAAATGTGAGACAAACAATATTTATAGAAAAGATACTTAAGAATTTGCCAGACATGATGGAAGCCATAAAACAAGTTGAGGAACGCAAGGCCTGAGCTGGATTATCCTCTTTAACCCATTCCTGAATGCACAGTGGTAAAACATCAGGTTCACTGAGTAATGGGTTTTCTTCAGCATCAGATCTTCAGTTTCCAAGGTTTGCTTCCCCTCTGCCACTTCCAAAGGAGTCTGGGTGCATATGTATATGTAAGGTCACTTTATTTAGAAGAGAAAGGAAGCTTTGTTTTATTATTTTATTACACACACACACACACACACACACACACACACACACACACACACACACCAATCAGAAGATTGGTAGTGGATTACTTGCCCGTTTCTTATTGTAAAATTTTTGATTGGTGCCCTGGTAGTGGACCCTCATAGAAAAGCTTCAGGCTAGAATGTTACAGGGAAGGGAAGGGGAGAACTTAACTTGGACATCCTAGTTAGATGCTACCTCTTGTGCTGAATCATCTTTTATAAGGGATTCTAGTATAGATCTGGCCTTTTTAAATTTGGACATTTGTGGAAATTTTCTGGGTCATGTTAATGCAGCCTACATGTGTGGTACAGAATTCATTGAATATACAGTAAGACTTTTAATATTATGTACAGACAATTTAAGAAGTATAATAGTTTTGTTAATGTATTTTTAAAAAGAAAAATCATCAGTTAATATTTGTTAAGCTTTTCTAAATGTAAATTGTTTGGAAGGTAACATTAAGTCTGAGATTTTCTATCATTTTACTCTAGGCAGCACACTTCTGCTTTTGTTCCTTCATCAGGACGAATCTATTCTTTTGGACTTGGTGGTAACGGGCAGCTGGGAACTGGTTCAACAAGCAACAGGAAAAGTCCTTTCACTGTGAAAGGAAATTGGTTCCCTTATAATGGGCAGTGTCCACCAGATATTGGTAAGTTCTGTTATTTTAAAGCTTTGCTATACACATTAAAGTTATTTGTTAAAATGCTGCTCTTAAATGATGAAGTTTTCTACATTTGAATGAAAGAATTGTAAGATACATTGTTTAATGAAAATAGCAAGATATAGAACAGTGTACATATTTGCTTAGTTTGTTTATACTTGCTTATGTATGCATAAGGAAACTCATGGTAAATAAAGTAGTAAAAGTGGTTTCAGAGGGCTAGGCATGTGGGAATTGGGTGGTGGCTGGATGCCGGTGGGAAGGGGTGTTTTTTTTATTTTTAATTGTGGCAGAATAGGCATTATTCAAAATTTATGAATTTAGCCATTTAAGATGTACAGTTCAGTAGTGTTCAGTACATTAACATTGTTGTGCAACCGGTCTCCAGAACTCTTTTCATCTTGCAAAATTAGAACTCTGTATTCATTAAACAGCAAGTCTGCATTTACTCCCCCCGATAGCTGGCAGACACTGTTCTGCATTTTGTCTCTGTCTATTTGACTTGACTCTGGGTACATCATGTAAGTGGAATCACACTATTTGTCTTTTTGTGACTGGCTATTTCATAAACTTAGCATAATGTCATTAAAGTTTATCCATGTTGTAGCATGTGTCAGAATTTCCTTCCTTTTTAAGGCTGAATAACATTTTATTGTACATATGTACCACATTTTGTTTATCTGTTCACCTGTTGATAGACACTTGGATTATTTCTGCCTTTTGTTACTATTGTGAATCATGCCACTGTAAACATGGGTGTACAAATATCTCTTGAAGATTCTTTCAATTTATTTTGGACTTTAAAATATATAATATTTCCTGTTTTTTTGAAATTTGGATCATATGAATATATTACCTATTCAAAGTATTAAAATTTTGAAATTTGCAGGGTGCCTGGGTGTCTCAGTCAGTTAAATGTCTGACTTCAGCTCAAGTCATGATCTTGCGGTCCGTGAGTTCAATCCCTGTGTTGGGTTCTGTTGCTGACAGCTCAGAGTCTGGAGCCTGCATCACATTCTGTGCCTCCCTCTCCCTCTGCCCCTCGCCCACTCACACTCTTGTCTCTCAAAAATGAATAAATGTTAAAAAATATATATATAAGATTTTTAAATTTGCTTCTGTATCCCTATGGCTTTAACCAAGTCTTTGATTTATTTTTATTTTCTATTATTTTTTTTAGTGGACCTGGTTATTTTTTCATTGGTGTTAATTTATTTGCTAAAGAGTTTGAAATATTTGAATTAATTTTTTTAATGTTTATTTTTGAGAGAGAGAGACAGAGACCGAGCACAAGCAAGGGAGGGACAGAGAGAGAGGGAGACCCAGAATCCGAAGCAGGCTCTAGGCTCCGAGCTGTCAGCACAGAGCCTGACACGGGGCTGGAACTCATGAACTGCGAGATCATGACCTGAGCTGAAGTCGGATGCTTAACCGACTGAGCCACCCAGGTGCCTGTAAAATGTGCTTTTTTAAAATAGATACATTTCCTTTACTATCCTAAACTGTTTCTCAGAATTTTGTTCTTGTTCATTTTATCTGTCTGATTTTCTTTGGGATTTTTCTTAGAGTTGTAAGACTTGTGTCTCTCAATATTTTATTCAGCGATGAGCATACTGTAAAGGTTGATATTTGAAAAGGTCCATAACTTTTTATGAGTGGCCTTGAAGATTCTTTTTTATGTATTTATTTTTTAGTAACTAAAAGGCTATCAGTTACACTTTCATTTAGCAAAGGTCAGGATATCATACTATTTTTTCTTGTTTTTGTTTGATTTTGTATTTAGTATATGGCTTCATTTTCTTCTAGTTACTCTTAGGTTTAGGACGTGCATTTATTTTAGTAATACTGTTCTTGTGTCCTTAGTGGCATGTTAGTTTTATTATATCAGTTTCTTACCCAAAAGGCACTGTTAATAACATAATAAAGAGATTATTTAATTTAAAGCAGCATGGATATTGTAAGGAAATCATGTATTTGTAAAGTTTAGTCACTTAGGGATGCATTTTGTTATCTTTGAAACTGTGTACCTTGAGATTATTTGCATTCAAATGGGAAAGGAAATGGAATTTTAAAATTACTTGTTTTGCTTCGTTTCATCAAAACATCGTTGATTGACCGTAGACAAAAGGTACAAAGAGCTCAGGTGTCCCATCAACAGATGAATGGATGAAAAAAATGTGGTGTATGTATATAATTGAATATTAGCCATGAAAAGGAATGGAATTTTGATACATGCTACAACATGGAAGAGTCTTGCAAATATTATGCTCACTCAAAAGAGCCAGACACAGAAGGACAATATATCAAGTGACACCTCTTAAATGAGGTACCTACAACAATAGTCAAAGGTATAGAGACAGAAAGTAGAATTGTGGTTACCGGGGACTGGGGGGAGGGGAGAACAAGGAGTTGTTTGAAGAGTGCAGAGTTCCTGTTTGGGTTGATAAAAACTTTATGGAAATGAATAATGGTGATAGTTACTTTTTGAATGTATTTAATGCCACTGAATTGTACATTTTAAACAGTTAAAATGGTAAATTTGATGTACATTTTATCACAAATTATATGTATGTATTGTATATAATATATATAATGGTTGATAATTATTTTGTAATGTACTAAAGTTGTGTAGGATAAAAACTAGTTAAATGTGAATTTAATTTTCTCAGCCCCTCCAGAGGTGAAGCCCATGGCCCCCACCTAAATCACATTGTTAGCATAAACTATCTAATGGGACCTTAAGATCACAGGTAAACAACAACATTGTTAACAGAATATTCCAGACTTGGAACTTGGTATAGGCCAGGGAAGATCTTTCTTTAGAATGTATATAGTTTGGACAACTACATTAATTTCCTAGGGCTGCTGTAACAAAATATCACAAACTGGATATCTTGAACAACACAAATTTATTGACTCAGTTCTGGAGGCTAGCAGTCCAAGATAAACATGTCAGGGTTAATTTCTTCTGAGTGCTGTAAAGGAGACTGTGTTCCATGTGTCTCTCCTGACTTGTGGTGGTTTGCTGCAATCTTTGGCATTTCTTGGCTAGTAGTAGATACCCGCCTTCATCTTCACATGGTGTTCTCTCTCCATGTGGATCTGTGTCCACATTTTCTCCTTTTGTAAGGACATCAGTCATTTTGTATTAGGGGCTCACCATACATAGAATGACCTTGACTTAGCTTATTACATCTGCAACGATCCTGTTTCTGAACAAGTCACATCCTGAGGTGCTTCGGTTTAGGACTTCAACATGTGAATTTTGAGGAGACAAATTCAACCCATGACAATATCCCAAACCTGAGAAGTTTTAATCCTTTACTTCACTGGCTTTATTATAGGCTTTGGTTCCATAACTGCAGCCAGCCTTTGTTCCTTAAAACGAGTTGTCATACCTAAAATCCAGTTCTCAAATATGTTCTTCAGATAAGTACTTGGTTGCATAGTTGATTTATTCAATCAATTATGAAAGAGGTACAAACTATAAGAAGGGGAACAGATTCTTACTGAACCTATATAAATAACTGTATTACTGTTTATTTTATTTTTGAGAGAGAGAGAGATAGAGAGCATGATCAGGGGAGGGACATAGACAGAGGGAGACACAGATTCCGAAGCAGGCTCCAGACTCTGAACTGTCAGCAAAGAGCTGGACGCAGGGCTCGACTCATAAACTGTGAGATCATGACCTGATGCTTAACCGACTGAGCCACCCGGACGCCCTATTACTATTAAAAAAAAAGGAGAACTAGTAAGAGTTTGAATTCTCATTGAATTCTGGGGGTCAGTGTGTGTGTGTGTGTGTTTGTGTGTGTATAAATACATATATATATGTATGTATTATATATGTATTTATATAATATGTATTTATATAATAAAAATATATAAAATTTAATAAATATATATTATATATGTATTTTTATAATATATATGTATTTATATATATATATGTATTTATATATATAACTCTTATTTTGAGAGAAAGAGAGAGTGCACTAGTGGGGAGGAGCAGAAAGAGAATGGGGGAGAGAGAATCCCAAACATGCTCCGTACTGTTAGCATGGAGTCTGATACAGGACTTGAACTCACGAACATTTAACCAACTGAGCCACCCAGGCACCCCAAGAATCAGATAATAATTTTTTTAATTGACATATATTAATTTCAGGTATAAAACATAACGATTTAGTATTGTATATATTGCAAAATGTAATTAAAATCTCACCATAGCTACAAAATTATTTTTCTTATGATCAGAACTTGCAAGATTTACTCTCTAACAACTTTCACATATGTAATAGATTATTATTAATTATAGTCACCATGCTGTACATTACATCTCCATGACTTACTTATTTTATATATGGAAATTTGTATCTTTTGATGCACTTCACCCATTTTGTCCACCCTCCCACCCCCCTTACTTCTGGCAGCCACCAATCTGTTCCCTATATATATGAGCTTTTTTGTTTTTTTAAGACTCCACATAGAAGTAAGTGAGATCATAGGGTGTTTGCCTTTCTCTGACTTATTTCACTTAGCCTAATACCCTCAAGGTTCATCCTTGTTGTAACAAATGTCAAGATTTCCTTCTTTTTTATGACTGAATAATATTCCATTGTGTGTGTGGGGTGGGGGGGGAGAGAAAGGAAGGGAGGGAGGGAGGGAGGAAGGAAGGAAGGAAGGAAGGAAGGAAGGAAGACATTTTCTTCATCCATTCATCTGTCAGTGGGCACTTAGGTTGCTTCCATGTCTTGGCTATTATAAATAATCCTGCAGTGAACATGGGGGCATATGTATCTTCTCAAGTTCGTTTTTTCATTTCTTTGGATAAATACACAGAATTGGAATTGCTGGATTGTCACAGACTATGAGTCTGGAGTTCTCTCTTGTCCAGCAAGAGAGCAGATGCAGAATTGGATATGACAGAGGCTAATGTCCAGGAGGAGACCAGAGCCCCAAGCAGGGGTTTTGTCTCTTTTATT